TTCTTGTAAATTTGTTTAAGTTCCTTGTAGATTCTGAATATTAGTCCTTTGTCAGATGGATGGATTGCAAAAATTTTCTCCCATCTTGTAGGTTGCCTGTTCACTCTGATGATAGTTTCTTTTGCTGTGCAGAAGCTCTTTAGTTTAATTAGATCCCATTTGTCAATTTTGGCTTTTGTTGCCATTGCTTTTGGTGTTTTAGTCATGAAGTCTTTGCCCATGCCTATGTCCTGAATGGTATTGCCTAGGTTTTCTTCTAGGGTTTGTATGGTTTTAGATCTAACATTTAAGTCTTTAATCCATCTTGAGTTAATTTTTGTATAAGGTGTAAAGGAAGGGGTCCAACTTCAGTTTTCTGCATATGGCTAGCCAGTTTTCCCAATACCATTTATTAAATAGGGAATCCTTTCCCCATTGCTTGTTTTTGTCAGGTTTGTCAAAGACTAGATGATTGTAGATGTGTGGTTGTATTGTAGATGTTATTTCTGAGGCCTCTGTTCTGTTCCACTAGTCTATATATCTGTATTGGTACCAGTACGATGCTGTTTTGGTTACTGTAGTCTTGTAGTATAGTTTGAAGTCAGATAGCATGATGCCTCCAACTTTACTCTTTTTGCTTAGGATTGTCTTGGCTATGCGGGCTCTTTCTTGGTTCCATATGAACTTTAAAGTCATTTTTTTTGTTTGTTTGTTTGTTTGTTTTTCTAATTCTGTGAAGAAAGCCATTGGTAGTTTGATGGGGGTAGCATTGAATTTATAAATTACCTTGTGCAGTATGGCCATTTTCACGATATTGATTATTTCTATCCATGTTCATGAAATGTTTTTCATTTGTTTGTGTCCTCTCTTACTTCCTTGAGCAGTGGTTTGTAGCTCTACTTGAAGACGTCCTTCATATCCCTTGTAAGTTGTATTCCAAGGTATTTTATTCTCTTTGCAGGAATTGAGAGTGGGAGTTCACTCATGATTTAGCTCTCTGTTTGTCTATTATTGGTGTATAGGAATGCTTGTGATTTTTGCATTGATTTTGTATCCTGAGACTACTGAGGTTGCTTATCAGATTAAGGAGATTTTAGGCTGAGACAATGGGGTTTTCTAAATATATAATCATGTCAGATACAAACAGAGACAATTTGATTTCCTCTCTTCCTATTTGAATACCCTTTATTTCTTTCTCTCGCCTGATTGCCCTGGCCAGAACTTCCAATACTATGTTGAATAGGAGTGGTGTGAGAGGGCATCCTTGTCTTGTGCCAGTTTTCAAAGGGCGTGCTTCCAGCTTTTGCCCATTCGGTATGATATTGGTGTGGGTTTGTTATAAATAGCTCTTATTATTTTGAGATACATTCCATCTACACCTAGTTTATTGAGAGTTTTTAACATGAAGGGCTGTTGAATTTTTTTGAAGCCCTTCTCTGCATCTATTGAGATGATCATGTGGTTTTTATCATTGGTTCTGTTTATGTGCTGGATTACGTTTATTGATTTGCATATGTTGAACCAGCCTTGCATCGCAGGGATGAAGACAACTTGATCATGGTGGATAAGCTTTTTGATGTGCTGCTGGATTCAGTTTGCCAGTATTTTATTGAGGATTTTTTTGCATCAATGTTCATCAGGGATATTGGCCAGAAATTTTCCTTTTTTGTTGTGTCTCTGCCATGTTTTGGTATCAGGATGATGCTAGCCTCATAAAATGAGTTAGGGAGGAGTCCCTCTTTTTCTATTGTTTGGAATAGTTTAGAAGGAAGGTACCAGCTCCTCTTTGTACCTCTGGTAGAATTTGACTGTGAATCCATCTGTTCCAGGGCTTTTCTTGGTTGGTAGGCTATTAATTACTGCCTCAATTTCAGAACTTGTTTTTGGCCTATTCAGGGATTCGACTTCTTCCTGTTTTAGTTTTGGGAGGGTGTATGTGTCCAGGAATTTATCCATTTCTTCTAGATTTTCTAGTTTATTTGCACAGAGGTGTTTATAGTATCCTCTGATGGTAGTTTGTATTTCTGTAAGATCAGTGGTGATATCACCTTTATCATCTTTTATTGTGTCTATTTGATTCTTCTCTCTTTTCTACTTTATTAGTCTGGCTAGTGGTCTATTTTGTTAATCTTTTCAAAAAACCAGCTCCTGGATTCATTGATTTTTTGAAGTTTTTTTCATGTCTCTATCTTCCTCAATTCTGCTCTCATCTTAGTTATTTCTTGTCTTTTGCTAGCTTTTGAATTTGTTTGCTCTTGCTTCTCTAGTTCTTTAATTGTGATGTTAGGGTGTTGATTTTAGATCTTTTCTGCTTTCTCCTCTGGCCATTTAGTGCTATAAATTTCCCTGTACACACTGCTTTAGCTGTGTCCCAGGGATTCTGGTGTAGTGTGTCTTTGTTCTCATCAGTTTCAAAGAACTTACTTATTTCTGCCTTAATTTCATTATTTAGCCAGTAGTCATTCAGAGAAGTTGTTCAGTTTCCATGTAGTTGTGTGGTTTTGAGTGAGTTTCTTAATGCTGAGTTCTAATTTGATTGCACCGTGGTCTGAAAGACTGTTTGTTATGATTTCCATTCTTTTGCATTTTGAGAGTGCTTTACTTCCAATTATGTGGTTGATTTTAGAATAAGTGTTATGTAGTGCTGAGAAGAATGTATATTCTGCTGATTTGGGTGGAGAGTTCTATAGATGTCTATTAGGTCTGCTTGGTCCAGAGGTGATTCAAGTCCTGAATATCCTTGTTAATCTTCTGTCTCGTTGATCTGTCTAATATTGACAGTGGGGTGTTAAAGTCTCCCACTATTATTGTGTAGGAATCTAAGTCTCTTTGTATGTCTTTAAGAACTTGCTTTATGAATCTGGGTGCTCCTGTATTGGGTGCATATATATTTAGTATAGTTAGCTCTTCTTGTTGCATTGATCCCTTTACCATTATGTAATGCCCTTGTCTCTTTTGATCTTTGTTGGTGTAAAGTATGTTTTATCAGAGTCTAGGATTGTAACCCCTGCTTTTATTTGCTTTCTATTTGCTTGGTAAATATTCTTCCATCCCTTTACTTTGCGCCTGTGTGTATCTTTGCACATGAGATGGGTCTCCTGAATACAGCACACCAATGGGTCTTGACTCTTTATCCAATTTGCCAGTCAGTGTCTTTTAATTGGGGGCATTTAGCCAATTTACATTTAATGTTAGCATTGCTATGTGTAAATTTGATTCTGTCATTATGATGCTAACTTGTTATTTTTCCCATTAGTTGATGTGGTTTCTTCATATTGTTGATGGTCTTTACAATTTGGTATGTTTTCGCAGTGGCTGGTACCAGTTATTCCTTTCCATGTTTAGTGTTCCCTTCAGGAGCTCTTGTAAGGCAGGTCTGGTGGTGACAAAATCCCTCAGCATTTGCTTGTCTGTAAAGAATTTTATTTCTCCTTCACTTATGAAGCTTAGTTTGGCTGGATATGAAATTCTGGGTTGAAAATTCTTTTCTTTAAGAATGTTAAGTATTAGCCGCCACTCTCTTCTGGCTTGTAGGGTTTCTGCAGAGAGATTCACTGTTAGTCTGATGGGCTTCCCTTTGTGGGTTACCTGACCTTTCTCTCTAGCTGCCTTTAACATTTTTTCCTTCATTTCAACCTTGGTGAATCTGACGATTATGTGTCTTGGGGTTGCTCTTCTCAAGGAGTATCTTTGTGGTGTTCTCTGTATTTCCTGAATTTGAATGCTGGCCTGTCTTGCTAGGTTGGGGAAGTTCTCCTGGATAATATCTTGAAGAGTGTTTTCCCACTTGGTTCCATTCTCTCCACCACTTTCAGGTACACCAATCAAACGTAGATTTGGTCTTTTCACATAGTCCCATATTTCTTGGAGACTTTGTTCATTCCTTTTCATTCTTTTTGGTCTTCATGCTTTATTTCATTAAGTTGATCTTCAATCTCTTATATCCTTTGTTTCACTTGATCAATTTGGCTATTGATACTTGTGTATGCTTCATAAAGTTCTTGTGTTGTGTTTTTAGCTCAATCAGGTCATTTATGTTCTTCTCTAAACTGGTTATTCTAGTTAGAAATTCCTCTAACCTGTTTTTCAAGGCTCTTGCTTCCTTGCATTGGGTTAGAACATGCTCCTTTTGCTTGAAGGAGTTTGTGATTACCCACCTTCTGAAGCCTACTTCTGTCAATTTGTCAAACTCATTCTCCATCCAGTTTTGTTCCCTTGCTAGCAAGGAGTTGGGATCCTTTGGAGGAGAAGAGGCATTCTGGTTTTGGGAATTTTCAGCCTTTTTGTGCTGGTTTTTCCTCATCTTCGTGGATTAATCTATCTTTGGTCTTTGATATTGGTGACCTTTGGATGGGGTTTTCATGTGGAGGTCCTTTTTGTTGATGTTAATGCTCTTCCTTTATGTTTGTTAGCTTTTCTTCTAACAGGCCCCTCTGCTGCAGTCCTACTGGAGTTTGCTGGAGGTCCACTCCAGGGTCTTTAAAAGCCCCTTCTCAGTCGAGGCAATGGCTTCTGGTGTGGCTACTTGTCCCAAGGAGAAGTCAAGAACAAGAACCCCATAGTGTTCTCCTCTTTGTGTGCACTTTGATGCATTATCTTCTAGAGCTTCTGTTACAATTAAGATTTACCCTCCCAAACCCTGCCTCAGAGTCCTCCAACTCAACAGTAGTACCTACCGATCTCAGTTAAGGAGGTTCGCATGGTTCAACTAACTTTTTTCCTTTCACTTATTTGTAAGCTGCTCCTTTTCATCCAATGAATGCCTGACCAGGTTTCACATGTACCATCTTTGACAGGAACATGGTGCCCTCACCTGGTTTACAATACAATACATATTGTTCCTCCTTTTTTGTATTCCTTTGATAATATGCTATGTCCAAGGTATCATCTCCATCTAGAAGTCCTATTGCTTGCTTTTAAAGTAAAGGTAGCAATAGTTTAGTTTGTCTATCTGAGACTGGATCCAAAGTTGACTCTGCTGTTCTGGAACTCATATTCAAGAGATGGTATTCTCAACTCACCCTTCATTACAAGAATAATTAACTGTTGATCCAAACTGGGTATCTGTGTTTATATGCACCATTCCATTGAAGGGTTCTGGAGGAGTTCCACATGATTTTCCTAGGGGGAAGAAGCAGAATTTGGGATTAAGTGTAGAGTTCAACTTACCTTTGTTTGTAAGGTTCAAACTGGAGTGTGGCATACTAAACAGCATATACAGTTCCAATTGTTTAATGGAATTGACTGCTTTGAAGAAACTTGGCAGACAACTTCAGAACCATGCAGCTACAGAACACCACTTTAAAAAAGACTACCTTACATCTCCCAATAAAAGTTATGTATGGGCTCACGCTTGTAATCCTAGCACTTTGGGAGGCCAAGGCAGGCAGATCTCCTGAGGTCAGGAGTTCAAGGCAAGTCTGGCCAACGTGGCAAAACTCCATCTCTACTAAAAAATACAAAAATTAGCTGGGCGTGGGGGTGGGTGCCTGTAATCCCAGCTACTCAGGAGACTGAGGCAGGGAGACTTGCTCGAACCCAGGAGGTTGCAGTGAGCCAAGATCGTACCACACTCCGGCCTGGGTGACAGAGTGAGGCTCCATCTCAGAAAAAAACAAACAAACAACAACAAAAAACACAACAACAGAAACAAAACAAAACAAGTCATTTATGGCTAAAGTGTTGTACTCTCATTCCACCAGCCAAAATCAAAGTTCTCAAAATTTGGGATGTCTCCCCTATTTTTAGTTAGCCAAGCACAGTTCACTGTAACCCACATAAATTTCTTTTGTACCCCTGTTTCATTCATTTCATGGTTTCAGCCATCAAGGATGATCTACAGTGAATATAAATTTTCTCTCTAATTCTTTTGTGAGAGCCATTCTCATGAAATAAGCATCTAGTCAAGGTTCAGGAACTCTGAGCAATAAAAAGGGGTGATGTACAAGACCACCCTTTATCAAAATACCTTGGGCAAATATAGACATCTTGCCTCCAAAATTTGAGCAAATTGAATCAAATCCCACACTGTTTTTATTGTTGTTGTTTGTAGAGATGGGGTTTGGCCATGTTGCCCAGGCTGGTTGCGAGCTCCTGAGCTCAAGCTGTCTGCCAGCTTTGGCCTCACAAAGTGCTGGGATTACAGGCGTGAGCCACCAAGCCTGGTCCCATCTATGCTTTAAGAGACATGAAGTAGTTCCCAGGGAGGGGTTACTTACGTCTACAGTTGTCTTCAGCACTTGACCAGACCAAGTTTTCTAGGCAGGAGATAGAGAACATTCTCCCAAAATACCCAGGATGGCATTCATAATTCAAAGATGTCCCGACTGGAAACTCAAAGTCATTAATTGGGATTGTAGGACTGGCAAATGGAAACTGCTCTGGGGTTTTACAGTGACCTGGAGAACAAAACCACAGGAATATCAAAGTTAGCAGAGAGACTTCCACCCTACCTCCTGTTTCTCTCCAATTAAGCTGATAGGTGGATCACAGAAACAGACTTACAAAAATAGCAAAAGATTTTCTTCTCTTTGATATTACCTTGGCATAAACTTTTCAACGGCATCTACTCAGCGGAATTTTTTTTTTTTTTTTTTTTTTTTTTTTACTATTTGGAAGATCACTCAGCTTTCTGATCTTTCTTCCCTTATTTCACCAAAACAAGAACTCCAGCTTGTAGTTTCATATGTCAGACCTCCTGTCGGAGTGCCTATATCCTCAGTTAACCGCTCAAATGCTCATGTATTTGTGCTAATTCACTCATGAGTAGCAAGACATATTTTATTATCTCTCTCCATCTACTCCATTCTCAGGGTGCCCAGCATAAACTGCCTCTCTGGCCTTTCATAGCAGATACCCGTTGTAGTGGGTTGAATTATGTTCTCCCAAAAGATATCTCTACCTAAAACCTCAGAATAGAAACTTATTTGTAATAATGGTTTTTCAGATAGAATTAAGGTTAGCGTCTTGAGATTAGATCATCTTTTACTTAGAGTGGGCCCTAAATCCAATGACTGGTGTCCCTATCAGGGAAAAAGTGGAGGGATTCGAAATATAGAGACACAGGGGAAAAGGCTATGATGGAGGCAGGGATTGGAATGATGCATCCACAAACCAAGGAATACCAAGGAATCCCAGGAACCAGCAGGAGCTGGAAGAAGTAAGGAATTGGTTATTTTCTAGAGCCTTAGAAGATGGGAAAATACCCCTGCCAACATCTCAATTTCAGACTTCTAGCCTACAAAACTGTGAAATAATAAGTTTCTTCTGTTTTAAGCCACCTAGTTTGTGGTAATTTGTTACAGCAGCCCTAGGAAACTAATACAGTGTTCTTCTTCTGATGCTAAACCACGCATTTAAAGATAAAACAAAATAGGGTGGGCATGGTGGCTCACGCCTTGTAGTCCCACCACTTTGGGAGGCCAAGGCAGGTGGATTGCTTTAGCCCAGGAGTTCAAGACCAGCCTGGGCAACATGATGAAAACCGGTCTACATAAAATACAAGAATTACCTGGGCGAGGTGGCATGCACCTGTGGTCCCAGCTATTTGGGAGGCTGAGATGGGAGGCTTGCTTGAGCCAGGGAGGTTGAGGCTGCAGTAAACTATAATTGTACCACTCTACTCTAGCCTGGGCAAGAGAGCAAGACCCTCTCTCAAAAAAAAAGTACATACACACACAAAAACAAAACAAACAAAAAAAGAACCAGAACAAAACAGACTAAGCCATCAGCCTCCTGTAAGAAGCTATGTCTTCTTTTTTTTTTTTTTTTTTTTTATCTTTCTCCAATCTGCTTTTCTTATTCTTTTTTTTTTTTTAAATTTATTTATTATTATTATGCTTTAAGTTGTAGGGTACATGTGCACAACGTGCAGGTTTGTTACATATGTATACTTGTGCCATGTTGGTGTGCTGCACCCATCAACTCGTCATTTACTATGTCTTCTTTTTGAGAGAGTATATTGTGTGCTGCGTAGTTTTACTTTTTTGTTTTACAATTTTTTAATTTTATTTTTTATAGAGATAGGATCTTGCTGTGTTGGCCAGGTTGGTCTTGAACTCCTGGCCTCAAACAATCCTCTCACCTCGGCCTCCAAAAGCGCTGGGATTATAGGTGTGAGCTACTGTACCCAGCCATGTGCTGCATATTTTCAAATAGAGTCTGAACTCCACTCCCTTCCTTTTGGAGAAGACTTCCTCCATCTGTTCATTCATTAAGCCTTCACTGGGGTCTAGGCATTTGCATTAAAAAAATTTACTGGATTCTGATGAGTAGCACTCAGTTGGAGGGTAAAGGTAACAGACAGGTTAAATGCCTGTCATCAGGGTTAGCCTTTTCACCTTGGCTTGTTCTTCTCTCTCAGGGCTTCCCTGTGGATAATGGAATATTCCAAGGCTGGTGCCACATCCCTAATCTACTACAGCTTCTGTTCTGGAAAAGACCTAATATTTGCCCTAAAGGACTAGGCGACTTCTCCCCCTCCTTAGGAAGAAACAGACTCTTCCTTTTTCTACTCTTTTCTTTGGGCTACTGTTTCCTTTCTTCTTACCCTGAGTGGAACAGTTCAACTACAAAGATTGAGATGACCTGGAGGCAAGCTGACAAGTGGACAAACGTTAAGTCAAGACGAAGAGTGTCTTTTTGGTTACTTAGCCCATGCAGCAGAACACTAGTTTAAAACCTTAGCTAAATAATATCTACATTTTCAATTTTGAACTTTGCATGCCCATGTACCCCTCATGAACTTATGGAGAGTGTCTGTTAATTATACAGATACTGGTTAGTGTTCATAGGCAGTTGTTTTCATGTCCTCTCCAGTGAATACATTTTTCTTCCTGAATTACATCACTGCGCCCTACTACCTTCCCTCCACCCCTCCCCTCAGTCCCATTACCCCACCCTCTTCCACTCCACCAGCAAGAAGAGTTCTCATCTTATAGATTTAAACATACCTTGGCACTGCTGAAACCCATCTGTTTTAGCTATGGTATGTAATTTTGTCATTTCCACTTACGACAAAGTTAAGCTCACAAAAACATACCATAGTCTTATTACAGAAACATGAGGGATGGGTCCAGATATTCTGAACCCATTTAGGATATGTGGAAACAGATACTGACCAGCACGAACAGAAAGTTCACAGCGAGGGGCGGGGCTGCTCCAAACCCCATTCCCTTGAGGGTCACTTGTGCAGCGGATGGTGCTCTCCCCAATGAGGTTGAAGGTCATCCCTCTGTCTGGGTGGGGGTCACATGTGTAAGATATTTCTTTTCCATAGGGAATATCTCCAAGGAGAGCTCCTGTGTGTCTCCCATTAAGGATAGCTGGAGGATTTGGACAAAAGATATCTAGAAAGAAAACAAGAGCTCTCAATTCCATAAAAAATTTTCAATTATTATCCAAGGTGATTCTACAGTTGTCATACTATGACTGTGTTGCCAATTAAGCATACTTTTTTTCTTAAGGAAAGTAGAAACTGCAAAATAAATGTATTAGACCTCTGCTAAGATGGAGCTAAATGAAATGACAACTAAATCAATGTTTATTACAAAAGCCATTGCCAAATTAAGCATCCTAAATTTTTCAGATAGTTAATATTTCTGAATAATAAAGGGTATATTCCTTTAAAGTAAATAAAAATCTTCATAGTCACATTAAAGGGGAATCATCCGTTAATTCAACAAGCATTTTTTTAAATAATCTGCTGTATGTCAAGTACTGTTTTAAGCACAAGATAAATATTATCTTTGACATCAAGAATCTTCATCCTAGAGACATCTTTCTAAAATATATTATGCATTTATTATTTGTGTATCAGTGATTTAATTTTTCTTGATGATGCCAGATTATGATTTTCAAAATAAAGATAAAAGATTACAGTAATGCTGTCAAATGAAATAAAATATACTGTGTACTCCTGTATATGTTTCAAAAGGCTCAAGAATGTTATGGTTTTTTGAGATACTCATTGGTTTTTAAAGGTTTTTCCCCCCCCCCCTCTAAACAAACACATTTATTCCTTGGAATGCCTCTTTTGGGGACATCCTTCCCCTTTCTAATTTGCTTTGAATTTGGAAAGAGGATATTACAGTTTAAAAGAATTATAGATAAACTAATCAAAGGTTAAAATAGCTTAACCAATGTTTACACTCTAGTAAGCAATTTCAGATATATGTTGGGTTCATTAGGGTATTTTCTCTTTCTTTTCTTTCATACTTCTTAACTATTCCAGGGAAGTTAAGATTGTCAAATAGCTGACTTCCAACAATGTAAGATGAAATTATCAAGTTTCATCATATAAATCAGTACAAGACATTGAAATAATTTAAGGCAAAGTATTCATTTGAGTGAAATTCTATTGTAAACATGTATTTTTAATAGCTATGATCAGAAGGGGAACCAATATTCTGATTAATTTAGTGAAGAAGTGAATGGATAGATTGGACATAGTAGTGTTTCTGGTTTTAACACACTATTTTCTGCCCTCTTAAAAATCAAAAGCAACCCCCTTGCTGCCATTTCCCTCTCCAGCTATAGTCCTATTTCTACTCTCTTTACATGAAAACTCCTCTAAAATACTGTTTATGATCTGTTACAGTTCCTCTGTTTATTCTCCCTAGAATTCATTACAATTAGTGTTTGCCAGTACTCCACTGAAACTGCCACTTGTTACCTCCAAGTTGCTAAACTCAAAGATCAATTTTCTGTTCTCACCTAATTTGACCTCTCTATGGAATTTGACACAGTTGATTAATCTAGTCCTTTAAAGGAATTTACACCCTTGGCTTCCAGGGCACCTCACCCTCCTGTGTTTTCTCTTATTGCAGTGGCTGCTTCATTATAATCCCCTTTGCTGATTCCTTCTCACCTTTTCAACTCTTAATCCTGGACATCCAGGCTCAGTCCATGCATCTGTTCTCTAGCAGCACTCACTCCCTAGGTGAAGATCTCTTTCAGTCCTGATTTCAAGCATAACATATACAATGAGGGCTTCTACATATCTATGGGCAGCCTGGGACTCTCTAACATATCCATCTGGATATCTAAGAGGAACACTAAAATTATGTCCCAAGAGTAACTTTTGATTTCCCCCTTCCCAAACTTCACGCATCCCCTGCATTTCAGCTAAGGCAAATCCTACCCTGGCGGTTGCTCTGGCCAAAAACCTGGAAACTGTTTATGATTCTTCTCTTTCTTTCACACCCTCTATCTAAGCACCATCACCAAATTCTGTCATCTACACCTTCAAAATATATCCAGAATTTGATCACTTATCATCATCTTTCCCAATTGCTATCCTGGGCCAACATCTCTGATGAGATTGCTGCAACAGCCTCCCAGCGTGAACCCTCAGGTACACCCAGAGGTTTGCTTGACTACAATTGCCTTTTGGGTTCTCAGCTACTTTCTCAATTGAGAGCACTGACTCAATTAAGAGCATTTTCTTAATAACACTTAGTATCATTTGAACATTTCTATTCATGTCTTTGATTTTTATCTTTATCCTTGCACAAAAATCTAAACATGGACTTATCTGTCTTATTTATAGGTATATTCCCAGTTCCCAGAAGATTGCTTGGCACATAGTAGGTACTCAAATAATTTTCTGTTGAAAGAATGAGTATGTGACTAAATGGATGATTGAGGGAAGAAGTGAAAAGTTGAAGTATGACTATTACTTTTGACAGGAAAGAAGAGAAAAATTTAGCCCAGCATCTTGCCATACATTTATTTCTATGAAGCATTTCTCTCTATTTATAGCACAGACTCTCCTCATAAATATTTATAGGAGGGTACCCAAAACACATGATTCTCAGGTTTATTTTTCCCCAAAACATTGCTTGTATCTATTCCAACAAAGAACTATTTCTATCAAAAGTAGGCATAAACAGCGGGACCAACAGTAGATAATCCCATGGGGCAAACCACATTAAAAAAAAAAAGAGAGAAAGATACAGACTGAACAAGTATTCCATCTACTCACGTTCACACACAGGAACACTGTTATTCCAAAGGCTTCTCATTCCAACCAAGACACAATGACTAACGGAACTGCCCTTTAAGCGAAACCTAAAGAACAAAGCAGTAGTGGCTGGGTGAATGTACCATTTCTCTCTTCCGTTCATTGACAGATCTCAACCTCCTCCCTGAGAATCCCTAAGATAATTAACATTTTACTGCTCAAGCTAAAGCACAGGTGAAAATGCTCATCTCACTTCATTTCTCATTGACAGGGGCTCAGAAGCAAAATCTTTTTGGAAAAAGTGTAGCTTTCAGTGAGGACAAAGCAATAACAGCTGGCGAAGTTGTCAATCATACATAATTGGATTTTAGAATATTTCTACTTACTCTTTCATTCCTATTCCAAATTCCACTATTTATTTGTTTAAAAGTTTTTTGAGTGGCTCAAGCCTGTAATCCCAGCACTTTGGGAGGCCGAGACGGGCGGATCACGAGGTCAGGAGATCGAGACCATCCTGGCTAACCCGGTGAAACCCCGTCTCTACTAAAAAATACAAAAAACTAGCCGGGCGAGGTGGCGGGCGCCTGTAGTCCCAGCTACTCGGGAGGCTGAGGCAGGAGAATGGCGTAAACCCGGGAGGCGGAGCTTGCAGTGAGCTGAGATCCGGCCACTGCACTCCAGCCTGGGCGACAGAGCTAGACTCCATCTCAAAAAAAAAAAAAAAAAAAAGTTTTTTGAAATACTCTTTGCATGCTATTTTATCTTATACACAACTTTCTCTTATATATCAAACTTTTCTTAACAACCCCCTAGAATAGTTATTTCTCTCTTCATGTCTGCAAATTATTATTTATTCATACATCTAACGTTCCGTATGTGTATATATATACTTTTTTTTTCAAGATCTGTTGTATTCTTGCCATTGTTTGTTCTTTGTCCCTTACTGGAAGCTGCACATTTTCCAAAATGATTTTACTTCTGAGCCTCTATAAGTGAGAAATCAATTGAGTTGAGCTTTTTGCTTTTTAAACTTCTGTTCATGGATCCAGCTGGTTCATACCACACTTTCCAATCATTGTTTCAGATATTAGTCTCCTCTAGTACTTCTTTTCCACTAGGCCAGTCCCCTTTTCTGGACTGGTGATTGTATTTCTGTTTATACTTGACACTGAGTTATATGTGCCATTTTTTCTTCATTTCTTTATCTCTTGATAGTAGTGTCACTTAGTCCCTACCCTTATTTTAAAACTACACTTCCAGAAGTTAATCTCCCTGGGTTCTTCTTTTCCTAGGTCAGCCCTCTTTTTGGATTGATCCTTGAGCTCAAGAGTCACTCTCCAGTGCTAAGTCCTTGATCTTAATTCTGGATCACACTCACCCTTCATCACAGACAAAGGACACCTTTGCCCCAAGCTGGAGATTAAATGGAACTAGCACACGGCCATGATGGAGTTGACCCAAGAAGTAATCACAGGATTTCACTAGAAGAAGAAAAAAAGTAAAAATAGGAGTAAGACCTCCATGTGCGGGGTAAAGAGAGCAATCTGGAAGCTAGAGAGTTGAGGCACCTGCACATCTGGGGGCTTCAGGGCTCCAGTCTCCCTGGGGCGTGCAGTGCAGAGACGCAGCCCCTTTGAGGTCATAGCCGGGCTCACAGCTGTAGAACACTTCCTGCCCAGGTGAAAATTTGTCCTGATGACTTGGGGTATGCTCACCATGCAGGATTTCTGGAGGTGGCTGACACACTGTGGAAAGGACAGTTCCAGAGCACTTGTTACTTACGGGGGAATTTCCTATGCTTCCTGAAGGCCTCATAGCTAGTCAGACATAGAGAAATAGAACCCAATTCTCCCTAGCACAAGGCCCCAAATTCACTTGTAAATCTACAGGGCATGAGGTATTTTCTCCTAGCTCCGGCTATCCAATGTGGAGTTATTAGTATTGGTGGATTCTCCATCTACATATTTCCTAGGAAGGTAATCCCGATTTGTACCACTGTTAGTCAGGTAATGAGACTGTCACCTGAGACCAAGTCTGTTCTACAGATTTCCCCCAATTTCTCTGATTGCACACCAATGACTAAAGTACAGTCATACTGTTTCTGGACAGGCAAGCCCCCAAATCGGGGCTTACTCTGGAAGGGTTTTTGCCTCACCCAGGAAAGAATTCAGGGATGAGCCAGTGGTGCCAGACAGCAATCTTTTAGTGAAGGGCGCTGCCACTTGCAGAGCAGGGCTAACTCACAGACAGTGCACTCAGAGTCAGCAACATAAGGGCTGCTGGCAGGCAACTGTATTTATACTCCTGTAAACCCATTTCAGTTACATGTAAATTAAGGAATGGATCAATGCAGATTGAGGGGCGAGTTATTTAGAACTTTCCAGGAAAAGGGTGGTAACTTCTAGGTCATTGCCATGGCATTTGTAAACTGTCATGGTGCTGATGGGACTATGAGGGCAGCTGGCAATTGCTTTCATCGCCATCTGCTGGTTCCTGCTGTTTTTTCACTTCATCCTGTCTGGGCCAGAGCCTGTTTTGGTCAGCAGGATTGTGACCAGAACATAATCCCTGCCCATCTCCTGCCTCAACACATCCATCTTTATATCCCTTTATCTGTTCGTCTTCCCAGCTCAGTGGTTGCACAAGGCTAACATGGGTTGGTAGAAGAATTGTAAGCTCTTTCTCTGTCCCTACGTATCAGCCATAACACCTCCCATTCAGCTGCTAAGCCAGCTATTGTGGCATCAGTAGACAAGATGAGCCATCAAAAACATAAGCCCTTAAATAAACCAGTCCTTTGTCACCAGAGAGCATATTATTTGGAGAGTATTTGACTCAACATCTGCCTTTATTTATAGTCATGTTCATTCATGCTTAGGGCATCAGAACCCATTTTAACATCAACCTAATATACTTCATTAAACATGAATTTAGAAATATTTAACTGGCTTTGAACAAGTTACGTTCACTCTTGACTTAGACTCCTAGGGATAAAATGTAGGATGTGGATGGCTTGAGCCTAGGAGTTTGAGGCTGCAGTGAGCCATGATTGTATCACTGTACTTCAGCCTAGGCAACAGAGTGGGACCTCAACTCTAATAAATAGTTTTTAAATAAAATTAAAAAAAAATAAAATGTAGGAGGCAGACCATTGTAGACAAACTCTGAGGTCTTTGTCTCTATTATGAGGCGATGATTTCTGTCTTTGTAAGCCAGTCTCTTTCTTTCACCAATGGATGCTGATAGAAGTATGGCAAGACACAAAACATTCAGACTCTGGGGTCTAACACACCTGCCTTTTAAAATCTTGGGTGTCTCACTTAGAACATGTGACTTGGCTAATTTATTTAACCTCTGAAAGACCAAGCTGATGTCACTATTAAATGGATAATACAACAGCACAATTTCAAACTGTTGTTGTAAATAATGAATGAGAAAATGCATATAAAGTGCTTAGTGCACAGTTGACCATAAAGTCCATATAATTTTTCAATATAATTGAGACAGATTGCAGCTGTTACTTTGCCCTGAGAATTGATTAATAAGTCAGTCCAAAATAGCTTTTTTCTTGGCTAATTAAGGCCTTGCTTTTCAAAATGAAGACACACATGCATGGGTGCACGCACAGCCCTGATTCTTAATTTCATGCTTCTTCCCTCAAAACTTACTTTCCCACCCGCCTCACCACACATCCCTCCCCCTGAACAAATACTGATCTCCTGATCCAACAGCAATGCATGTCATTTGCAGGGACCTTCTAGGCCTCAGTCAGACTCACCCCTGGAGCAGCTTGGTAACTCTGGCTCCCATTTGTTCCAGGGAGCCTGGCATTGCAGTCCTTTCATGACAAAGCCAGGCTGACACCTAAACTCCACAACTTCATTTAAGGAAAATAAACTGTTGACAGATACCAATATTCCATTTTCCACACATTTGGAGGCATACATTTGTTAGGTATAATGCACTGAGGGGCCGGGCCGCTCCAGATGCCCACTTGGTCATCTTTGCTGGTGCAGTATATGGAGGGCTCACCCACAAGCTCAAGCAGCTTTCCTTCCCTTCCAAGATTGCAGCGGTAGGTCACCACTGATCCGTGAGTGAAAATACTCTCTGCTTGGTGCTAATGGGAAATCTCCATTAGCGATGGCTGAGGGTAGCCCACAAGGAATTCCTGGAAAAAGAAAAAGCAGCAAATTAAGCAAACAAAACCTTGAGATAGAATCTTGCTGTCACCCAGGCTGGAGTGCAGTGGCACGCTCACAGCTCACTGCAGTCTCCACTTCCCAGTCAAGTAATCCTCCCACCTCAACCTCCCGAGTAGCTGGGGTCACAGGCATGCACACCACTGTCTGGTTTATTTTTCTATTTTTAGTAGAAGTGGGATTTGGCCATGTTGGGCAGGTTAGTCTTGAACTCCTGGCCTCCGACAATCTGCCTGCCTTAACTTTCAAAGTGCTGGGATTATAAGCATGAGCCACCGCACCCAGCCTGGTTTCTAATAATTACACTTTATAGTAAATTTTGCTAACAGTTTTTTTAATTCCAAATTACCATAAGTAAATATTAGTAATATTCTCATCTAATATTTGCTAATGTACAGACATGTTCTTACAGTTGTAAAATAGTATGAGTTCTGCTCTACTCAGTTAGCCTTATTTCACTAAATGTGTCCACATATTATTAGAGCCCACTTTTTTTCTTGTTTTTTTTTTTTTTTTTGTTTGTTTGTTTGCTTGTTTGTTTTTGAACAGTCCTCTGTTCCCAGGCTGGAGTGCAGTGGCATGATCTTGGCTCGCAACCGCGTCTCCCAAATTGAAGCGAGTTTCCTGCCTCAGCTTCCTGAGTAGCTGGGATTAGAGGCATGCAGCACCACGCCAGCTAACTTTTGTATTTTTAGTAGAGATGGAGTTTCACCATATTGGCCAGGCTTGTCTGGAGCTCCTGATCTCAAGTGATATGCCCGCCTCAGCCTCCCAATGTACTGGGATTACAGGCCTGAGCCACTGTGCCTAGCCTATAGTCTATGTTTTTATTTCTCCGCTAATGGGAATTTATATGTTATCTCACCATTATTAATTTAGTTCTCTCTCTCTATAGAAGGCATTTGCCTTTGTGGTATTGGATATTAATATAATAAAGCATATAGTATAGCATTTTTTTTGAGACAGGGTCTTGCTCTGCTGCCCAGGCTGGAGTGCAGTGGCCGGATCATGGCTCATTGCAGCCTCAGCCTCTCTGGCTCAAGCAATCCTCCCCACCTCTCCCAGTCTCCTGAGTAGTTGGGACTATAGGCGTGTGCCACCATGCCGTTGGTTTTTGTATTTTTGGAGAGACGGGGTTTCACCATGTTGTACAAGCTGGTCTCGAACTCCTGGGCTCAAGCTATCAGCTCACACCTAGTCCTCCCAAAGTGCTGAGATTACAAGTTTGAGTCACCACACGTGGCTCAGTATAGCATCTTTATTAATAAGACAAAAAACTCTGTAGAACTAATAAAGACAAAACACAAATATACAATATTACATATAATAAACTACATACTTACAGATTCAGAAGTAATAAAAATAACTGGACACTGATTTACAGCCCTATCACCCTGAATGCGCCCAATCTCGTCTGATCGTGGAAGAACTGGGAATATGTCCTACTCTGCTGTGGGGCAGTGCTGACCAGTATATATTGGCCGCTATAAGAGGTTGGTTCCCTCTTGTATCCTCCCACCAACTGGGTTTGAAGTGCTGATTTCCTCACACCATCACCAAATGCAGGATTATACACATTTTATATTCCTTTTTAGCTGGCAATTGCTCATTCCACTTTGCTCCCAAAATGTAGAAAGCTCATCTTCCAAACAACTCACAGGGAAGACGGCATGATCCTGTTTGGGCAAAGAATAAGAAGGAAGGAAGGCTGCATGGCTTGAATATCTGATGTGATACTAAGAGCTTGCAGAGAGGATATAGGGTTTCTTTCACACTGACTGTGTTTGTTGACTTCACTGAAAATGCTCTTCTTCAAACTGTGAGGTGTTCAACCAGCAGAGGAGGGGGTGGGGCTGTTTAAATAGGCTCAAGACTAGTTTAAAATAAATTACACCTCAAGATAAGAAAAAAACAAAAACGCATTTCTAGGTGAAGGTGGAAGTTTGGGATGCTGTGAGTCATTTTAAGGATATGTATGACTGGATTCTTCAAATATCAGAAGGATACCATTTCCAAGAGGGATGAGATTCATTCTTTGTGATTCTAGGAGGACAACTCTAGGATTAAACAGTGGGAGTGAATGGGAAAAAGAGACTTCAACTCACGTTGACAAATTGGCGGCTTCGTGCTCCAATGGGCAGTATTGCCTGAGATGACACATTCAGCAGATGAGTGACCAATGGAGTCGAGATTGCCTAAAGGCAAACAGTGAAAATAGTTGTGCTGTACATGCCTCATCGACGTCCTCACAGCATGCATATGTGGCAAACCAGAAGGATTACAATGTAGGAAGTCTAGGGGCCTAGCCTAAACTTTACCTGTTGTTCCCAGCTTTTCTACTTCTTTTTCCTATTCTCTCATTGAAAGAGATATTTTTGCTCTAACTTCTCTGGCCCACTTTGGCTAGCAATATCTTGGCTTCATTGTGGGCTGTGCCTGAATTGCCAAATAAAACAATTATTTTGTAGACCTGTTTACCGACAATTTTTCATAAATTCTATTTTCTTTAAATGCTATTTCTGCCATTTTTTGTTTGCATTTTCCCGTAATTTGTGTGTGTGTGTGTGCATAATACTATGTCATCTTACTTGAGACATGTTTTTAAATGCAAGATTTGTTGCTTTTGATCTTGTCTAGTAGACTTTTGTCTTTCAACAAAGAAGATTAAACACACGTATTGAGATAAATGATACATTTGATTTGCTTTCATCATCATTCTTTCACTGCCTTTTTCATGGATTTCATGATGCCCAATGATGAGGATGTGGAGAAGCAATGAATAAAATGACCTGACCCAAACATGAGGGGGCTTATTTCTGGTGGAAGACATAAATGCATTCCTTGCCTTTTCCTTCCCTCTCACTTGCTATATGGAAGAGATAAATTCAGCTGTTTTAGTCATTCTAATAATTTGGAAATTAAACTTCATATGTTTTCCAATGAGGAATTTCATTTTATATGTGTGCATGTATATTATAAATATGCACACAACAGGTATTTAAATCTATTTTCTCAATTTTAGAGTCAAACTCTATATAGTGAGTCTACTCATCTTTTCTGTAATGTAAGTCTAGCCTACCTTTTCTTACTGTCTCACATTTTTCTGGTTTTATTATTATGTTCTATGAGTTTTAAGAGAGATTATTAATAAATTATGATTACATGCACCAAATTTTTATGTGTACTTTTTTTATTGTTGTTTTTTCTTTCAATATCCTATCTTATTGAAATTTCTTTTGGAATTCACATCATTCTCCTTTTAAAAATTTGCTCATGAATTGCCTGGGAAGCATACTTAAATGGTACAATTTTTGTGTCTTTGCTTATCCTTTAATGTGTATCTGGAGCCTCTAGGTATTAACTTGGTGCAATAGAAATGCTACCTTATACCATTTAGTGTTGTATAGAATCAATGTGGTGCCAATAAATTTACTTCTTTTGCGGGTATTATATTTTCCACATTTATTTCTGGAATCTGAGGGTTTTCTCTATCCCTGAAACACAGAAGTTTCCCTAGTGATGGCTAGGTATCAGCTTATTTGTTTACCCTTTATAAATTTTGTTACATGTATTTTGAATCCTGACCTGTGTTACATATGTCTTTCCTTTTTCCTTTTTGGAGACAGGATCTGTTCATCATCCAGGCTGGAGTGCAGGGGTGCCATCACGGCTCACTGAAGCCTCAGCCTCCTGGGCTCAGGTGATCCTCCACTTCAAGTCTCCTGCCTAGCTGTGACTACAGGGCCACGCCGCCATGCTCAGCTAATTTTTATACATTTTTGTAGAGATGGGGTTTTGCCATGTTGCCCAGGCTGGTCTCGAGCTCCTGGGCTCAAGTGATCCTCTTGTCTCAGCCTCTCAATGTGTTGGGATTACAGGTGTGAGTCACTGTGCCTGCCTGTCTTCTCCTTTTCAGCTTTCCCTACTTTGCATTCCAAGGAAAATTTGGTTAACTCCTCTTACTCTTTTGCTTTAATTTTCTGCAATATTCATTGTGAGATATATATATATATATGTTTATGTATATATATATCACATGTATGAAATGAAATATATAAGCCACACGGAATACATATATTCATTCACATACAAACTTCATGGCTAGTTTCACAGAAGTATTTGTACAATTGAATCTTAGTACCAATATGAAAAGGAGAGTGTTCAGAAAAGTTTCCCTGGTTTCTTGGCAGTAAATCTCTTTTTGTAAAATTTCTCTGATTTTTCAGACGTCTCTTTTACATGTATTTCATGTTTCTAGTCATAAGCTCAATGGTTTCTCTTTGATGCCTTGGAGAGGTTCCCCTTATTCAGCAATGCAAGATGAGGAGGAGTACAGTCAGGAAACTTATCAATTGTATTTAAAACCCTCAAAAAAAAGTAAAAGGAAATGTTAGTTTATTCTAATTTTACTTTTAATCAGATTCTACATGCTATGGTCTGTGAGGTCTAGGCTGGCATATGTGTTGGACACCACAATTTTCCTTTCAGTATTGGTTGCGGTGGGCACAAATGCTTAGCCCTTATTCACTACCTGGCTTAGCTGTTCCAGTGAAGAGTGAGCTTGAGAGCCAGAGCCTCCCACTGTGTGCTGAGCAAGGCTGAGCACCAGCAGCGGCCGTGCGCTGCCCAAGGCACCTGACGCTTGACATTTTCAAAGGGCTCTGTTGTAGGTTGAAGTGTCTCCCAGATATGTTGAAGTCTTAACCCCAGTCTCTGTGGATGTGATCTTATTTGGAAATACAGTCTTTGCAGATGCAGTAAGTTAAAGATAGAGTCATTAAGGTAGGCCCTAATCCAATGTGACAGGTGTCATAAAAAGGGAAAACTTTGAACAGAAACATGCACAGAGAGGAGAAGAGCATATGAGGACACAGACCCAGAGGGAGAGGCGGCCATCACGAGGACAGGACAGAAGAAATTGGAGTTCTACTGCCACACGCCAAGAAGCCCTGGGGCTCCAGAAGCTGGAAGATGCAATGAAGGATTCTACCCTACAGGATTCAGAGGGAGCATGACCCTGCCAACACCTTGATTTTGGACTTCCATCCTCTAGAATAGAACTCCAAAAACTTCTGTTGTGATAAACCCAGTCATTTTTGTGTTACAGACATTCCTCAAGGATATTGCAGGTTCAGTTCCAGAACACCACAATAAAACAAATATCACAACAGATACAGTATATGAATTTTGATTTCTCAGTGAGTCTAAAAGTTGTGTTTATACTGTCTGATGATGATCTATTAAAATTGTGAAATAGAATTATATCTGAAAAAAGTCATAGCAAAATGGTTTATTGATAAAAAAAGTGCTAAAAGATTATCTGACCTTCCAATCAGTTTACTTAATCTTTGTAGTGGAGAGTCTTGCCTCAGGCTGATGGCTGCACTGACTGCTCCAGGGCGGTGGTTGCTAAAGGCTGGGGTGGCTGTGGCTATTTCTTAAGCTGAGACAACAATAAAATTGCTGTGTGATTGATCTACTCTGCAAAAGGTTTTCCTAGCATGCAATGCTATTTGATAACATTTTACCCTCTGAACTGCTTTCAAAATTGATCAATCCTCCCAGATATGCTGCTGCTTTATCAACTGAGTTTATATAATATTCTAAATCCTTTGTCGTCCCATTTCACAATACTCATGTCATCTTCACAGAAGAGACTCTACCTCAAAATCACTTTCTCTGCCCATTCACAAGAAGCAACTCCTCATCTGTTCAAGTTTGATCATGAGATTGTATGAATTCAATCACATCTTCAGGCTCCACTTCTAACTGTAGTTCTCTTGCTATTTCTACCACATCTGCAGTTATTTCCTCCACTGAAGTCTTGAACCTCTCAAAGTCAGCCATGAGGGTTGGAATTAACTTCTACCAAACTCTTGTTAATGTTGATATTTTAACCTCTTCCATGAATCATAGATAAGTTCTTAATGATATGTATAATGATGAATTCTTTCCAGCAGTTTTCGCTTACTTTGTTTCAGATCCATCAGAGGAATTGCAATACGGGAACTGGCCTTACAAATGTTCCTTAAATAATGAAACTTGAAATCAAAATTACTCCTTCAGCCATGGTCACCAGAATGGCTGCTGTGTTCAACAGGCAGGAAAACTCCCATTCATCTCCATGCCATCTCCGTACCACAGCTCTTGGTTGTTTTAGGTATAATGTCAATAAGCAGTAATATTTTAGAAAAATATTTTTCTGAGCACTAGATCTCAACAGTGAACCAAATATTCAGTAAACCATGCTGCCGACAACTACTTCTGTCATCAGGCTTTTTGTTCCATTTATAGACACAGGCAGGTACATTTTTAGCATAATTCTTAAGGGCCGAGTTTTAGAATGGTCAGTGAGCATTGGCTTCAACTCAAAGTCACCGTGGCATTCGCTCTAAAAATCAGCCTATCCTTTGAAGCTTTGAACCCAGGCATTATTCTCTTCTCTAACTATGGAAGTCCAACAGATGACTGTTTTGTCTGCACGGAAAATGTTATTTAGTGTAACACCTTCATCCATGATCTTAGCTAGATCTTCTAGATAACTTGCTGCAGCTTCTAAATAAGCACTTGCTGCTTCACCTTGGATCTTTATGTTATGGAGAGGGCTTCTTTCCTTAAACCTCAGGGACCAAATTCTGCCCTGGCTTCCAGCTTTTTATTCTGCAGCTTCCTCACCTCTGGCAGCTTTCACAGAACTGAAGAGTTAGGGCCTTGCTCAGGATTAGGCTTTGGCTTCAGGAAAGCGTTCCTAGTTTGATCTTGTATCTAGGCAGTCTACAAAACTTCTTCCCTATCAGCAATAAGGCTGTTTCACGTTTTGTTATTCATGTGTTCACTGCAATAGCACTTTATATTTCCTTCAAGTACTTTTGCTTTGCCTTTGCAGCTCTCTAGCTGTTTGGCACACGATGAATGGCTTTTGGCCTGTAGTTTTCAACATAGTATCCTCCAGTAAAAGCTTAATCATCCTAGCTTTTGATTTCAAGTAAGAGATGTATGACTCCTCCTTCATGTCATCAACACTTAAAGGCCAGTGTAGGGCTATTAAGTGGCCTAGTGTAGTATTCCATTGTGTCTCAGGGATTAAGAGGTCTGAAGAGGGGAGAGAGAGGGAATGTCTAGTCCATGGGCAGTCAAAGCACGCACATTTGTGATTAGTTTTCTGTCTTATGGATGCAGTTCATAAAATTCCCCAAACGAATGACTTAATAGTCACATGAAAGATCACTGATGACATGCTATCACAGACATGATAATAATGAAAACATCTGGGATATTGTGAGAATAATCAAAATGCTACACAGAGACACAAAGTGAACACACGCTGTTGGATAAGTAGTCGACTGACATACTTATCGTAGCGTTGCCACAAGCCTTCAATTTATAAAAAGCATAACGATCTGCAAAATTACATTAAAAGGAGGAAGGACTGTACTTTGAGGAGCAGCCCAAGCAAATGATCATGCTGTTATCATTAAGATTTGTTCTCTCACACAGCCACTACATGCCCTTCCCTTTCTTCCAGCAATGTCTACTCTGGGTTAGGGTTGTTTGTGGGCTTTGACTACTACACTTCTAATTATTTTCCTTCCCATCAGTGAACGGCATACTCTTTATATGTGCATTGCCCTGGTTTCCAGCAAGGATACAGATTATTCCTATCGTCTCCTATCATTGTTCATTTCAATCAGGAGTTAACACCTGTGGTCAAACCTCTTAAGAGCTGGTGGCAGTAGCCTAGTTTCCTTCCTGAGATGTGGCTAGAGTGAGTGTTGTAATAACAGGAACTCTTAAACCAAGAGATGTTGCTGCCAACTCACCCTGTAGTACAAGAATAGTTGATTCTGGATCCAACCTGGATGTCTGTGATCACATGCACCACCATGCCATTCACTGCTGGATCTGGGGGGTTTTTACATGATTTACCTATGGGAAAGAAAGTATTTTGGAGCCAGGTAATCAGGACTCCCTCTTCAGTAAGTAGGGTCTCCATCAACATGTAGCTTGCTGAAGAAAATACGCAGTTCTACAGTGGTTCCACAGATTTTGCCACCTTGAGAAAACTCATCAGAGCACCTCAGGATCAACCTACTGACCCACTTTCAAAAAGACCTTCCCTCCAGCTCTATCTAGATCTAGATTTAGATCTGTGTAGAGACCTTGCATCCCTTATCAGAATGTAAAAGTCACTTATCGCATTAGTTACTACCAATATATTTCAAAGTTTGCAAAGGATTTCTTCCACATGTTATTCAAACAGAAATTTGTCTTCTTACACCATTTCTTTTTCCCTGATCTAGTCACTTATTATTTTTCTTCCCATAGGGAATGAAGGTTTTCTCTACAACTGTTTCTTGAAACAGTCTCATGAAGTGAGCATTTCAAGCAATAATCAAGGATGACCTACAAGAAAAGCTCTTATATCCACCTATCTAGACACTTTCAAAAAAGGTTTTCTCATATCCCACATTTGAAAACATTCAGTAGCTTTTACGACATGGAAAAGATCAATGCAGTTCACTCACGTTTACAGACATCTTTGGGACTTGACCACACCAGGTTATCTAGACATGTGATAGAGAACGGCCTCCCGTAGTACTCAGGACGGCATTCGTACTTTAAAGATGTCCCAATGGGAAAGTCAGATGCATTGGTTTGGGTTTTCAACTTAGCAAACAGAAAATGATCTGGGGCTTTACAGTGACCTAGGGCAAGAAATCAGAATATCTGAGTTAATAAAAGATACCCAATATGTTTCCTCTTTTCTCTTGGCAAGGTAGATTGATGCCCAGAAAAGAAACTTTTAGTTTGAAAAACAAAAGCAAAAACAACAGCAACAAAAAACTTCTAACAAAATGAAGGAAAGTTCCATTAGCATAGGCTTATAAGGAAGTATATTATCTGGAAGTCTAGTACTATATGGTCTTTCTACTCATATAATTTATGTATTTTAATTTTTACTTTTTTTTTCTATTTTTAGTAGAGTTGGAGGTTCATCATGTTTGCAGGCTGGTCTGGAACTCCTGACCTCTGGTAATCCACCCGCCTTGGCCTCCCAAAGTGCAGAGATTACAAGTGCTGACCACTGCGGCCAGCCTATTCATTGTTTTGAGATAGGTCTCACTCTGTCACCCAGGCTGGAGTGCAGTAGTGGCACAGTCTCAGCTCACGGCAACCTCCACCTCCCAGGCTTAAGTGATCCTCCCAACTCAGCCTCCCGAATAGCTACAGGAACACAGGCAATTGCCACCACACTCAGCTAATATATATAATTTAATGTAAAGATAGCTCTGATTTAATTTTTTCACATTTTTAGGACTCAGAAAGAGTGTTTCTGCCCAGCTTCCACCTTTCGTGTCTGGTTTCCTTGTATTTCAGGGCATCAAAACTCCAATGAGAGGCTGAAAACCATAAGGGCAGAACTCAAAGACATTTTCCTGGTAGGAGGAGACACTGATTTTCCAGGTTAGATTTCTCAGCTAACCGTTGCAATAAGGGGATTCACGGCATTTGTTTTTAATTCATATGATTCTAATGAAGGACTTTCCCACCACTCATCACCTCCTGTTTTTTCATCCAGTCCTTCCAGCTGCAAAGGTCATCAGGATCTGATATGTTGACCTACCTTAGAACCATTTATCTGTTGGTTTTGGCATTTGATTGTGGCAAATGCACACGGAAAACCATACTGTAATTATGGAAATATGGAGGGCCTGCGTTAGATATTTGAACCCATTTTGGGATGTGTGGGGAAATGAGCACTAGCAGAATTCTGAGCGAGGCAGGGCTGCTCCAAACCCCATTCCTTGAGGGTCACTTGTGCAGCGGATGGTGCTCTCTCCAATGAGGTTGAAGGTCATCCTTCTGTCTGGGTGAGGGTCACATGTGTAAGTTACAGCTTTTCCAAAGGGAAAGACTTCCAGAAGTTTTCCTGTGTGTCTCCCATTAGGAATAACTGGAGGACTTGGACAAAAGATTTCTGGAAAAAACGCAAAAGCTCTAAGTTTCATTCAGGAGTTTCCCCAGAGGTATTCTGCAATTACAGGGTGCTATGATTGGTGTTGCTGAAAATATGCTAAGGAGGTGACAGTAGACATTAGGACTTTGAAGAGTTGGATTAAATGAGATGTCATTGAAAGTGTATTGGTAAGTACAAAAGAGATTTTTCTATCCTGAATCTTCCAGATAGTAATGGTTCTGGACAATAGAAAGCGTTACAACTTTAATGAAGTAGCAAAACATTGAAGGAAAAATGACCACTTTTAAGGGTTACTCATTCATTTAGTCAATATTTATTAATTGAGCACTTGTCCTGTGTCAGCCACTCATCAGGATCCTGGGGACGCAGTGCTGAGGAAGGAGCCTACGTTCTTGGGAAATATTTCTCAAATGCATATATGTGTGCTAATAATCTTAAATAAATTGAAACCTTCCACTGATTACTTACTGATACTGATCATCAATCTCTGTGATAACAATAGCCCTGTCACAGTGAACTGAAACGTAGTCAGGCCATTGTAAACTCAAATGGATTCAGATTCTTTGCTTTTGAAAATGGCTGTGTTTGTTAATGATTAATTTTCTCTTTTTTTTTTTTTACGTTCTGGGTCAGGTTTCAAGTTGTTACTCCTTTCTAGCCTCTACTGATTTGTTTAGAACAGTCTCTCGCCTCCACATTTCTAATTAGGCGTTTTCCTTAGAACTGGAGATTGGGACTACCGCTTTAACTAGCAAGAGTTATGAAAATCAGAAATCTTGAGTAGTCAATCAATGAGTTTAATGCATGATAGTAGAACAGACACTTGTCATGCTGCTTCAAAGACACTGGATTACTTAGACAGCAGAATCTCTGTATAAGTTGTGTTCTTACAAAATTTTCCTCTAACAAGCACTGTAAAAGATGTCCAGAAGTATATTTCTAACAACACAAACACATTTTAGTAAAATTTCCGCTTGGTCTTCTAAAAAGCTTATAGTTTCCAATCGTTTAGAATCAAGAAATGAAGCAAACTTCTATCTACGTGCATGGGGAAATTACAAATGGTTAGACTAGGAGAAATCAGTAGTCTACCGATTGTGAACATGTGGGGCTCTTTTTTTCAAAAAATTGACTTATTATTTATGAATCTCTCAGCATAAATGACTTAGGTACATGTTTTGAAAATTTAAGGAAGAGTCTCAACTGCTCGCCTGTCTAGTATTGCAACCCACTTTTCCCTCATTCCTCAGTGCTTTGCTCTATTATCTTCATAGCATTGAATTTATTTTTTTTGCCTCTCCCACCTGAGGAGAGAAACAACATGGGGACAGGGAATTCGTTCGTCTTGTTCATTGATAAAACTCAGTGGCTAGTGACATCAGGCACAAAGTACGTGATCAATAAATATGATTAAATAAAGGCATGTTTAATATTTGTGTATTATCAAATACATACAAAAATTGTAGACTGACTGCACCTGATGGAAGAACAAAATGAAAAAGAAAGAAGGGAGGAAGGAAGGAAGAAAGAAAGGAAAGAAAAGAGAGAGAAACAAAGTAAATTGTTAAAGCTTCACATTATCTGATCTCTCCGCAAACTCCTAAGGAAGCACACTACCATGAGCATTGCGGTAGAACACAGAATACAGAAGGACAGAGACAGATCAGATGATTCCAAAGACAAGAGTGATGTACACGTTGATACACAACCAAACATTATTAAAATAAGCAATTTTGAAATCAATAATTCGGACTAGAAAATTGAAGGACTGCATTAGGGAAGGTCATGGGTCAAATACTGAACAGATGAAGGAAGACTGGCCTGAAATGTTACTCTCCCTGTACTCACGTTCACACACTGGAACACTGCTATTCCAAAGGCTTTCCATTCCAGCCAAGTACAGTACTTCTTGTTGCCTTTTAATTGAAATCTAAAGGAGAAAATAGGAGTGAATAGTGAGCTGTTTCAGCCAAGAGGACTCTTGGTTCACAATCTAAGGCCCTGCCCCAAATCTCAGGATTTTGAGGACCGGAGGCCAGCAGGTGGCAGAGTTGCACAGGCTACGTTATTCTGGAGGCTCACAGTCTCAGAAGGGAGCAATATAGAATGGCAAAATGCATTAGCTTGGTCACATGACAGTCCTGCTTGAATTGAAAAAGGTGGTCATGACATGGGCACCATCTCATGACCCAGGACCCAGGCTGAGGTTTCACTGATTACTCCATGATAGCCTGATAAATCACTCATTGTCATTATTAGAAACCCAGTCTTGTAATGTAATGCCTTCCTAACTCTGATGCTGGAACAGCAAGTAAAACAGCTCCCAGTTTGGAAAAGTAGAAAATAGCTGGTGAGAGAGCGAGAGGTGTCCTTTCATCTCCGCATCTGTGATAGCGTGAAGAAGGCTCACAAGGGCAGTTTGGGCTGCTGAAGAATAGCATAAATATTCTAGGGGAAAAAGAAAGAAGAGAGGACTTGATTTTTGTAGCCAATAGTTGAAAATTCTCAGTTTCTGTTGGGCCTGATGCCCTTCTAACTCTTACTGGGTGCCCCCAGCATTTGGGAGGCTGCCAAGATTCTGTGGAACATTTTGGGATCAGGTGCTTTGTTGCCCATGCTGGTCAGCTCCCGTGTAGAGATGTGCACCCTGTGCATCTGTGAAGAGCACTAGATGGACATAAACAAGGTAATAGCCTTGCCGAAGCCCAGGAGCCATCAGGACCCCAGTTCAGAGCCCAAGCCCATGAATAGCCAGATTATATGTGACTGAATTTTTAAAAAATGCTGATTTTTACATTTTCATTCCTATTACAAATTTCACTATAGTTGGTTTAAAGAATTTACTGAAATGATTCTTAAATGATTCCAGTTATTAAGAATAAGCTTTTTGTTACTTGCAGTTTTTTTCTGGGACTCTCTAAATTACTCATGTTCTTTTTCTTGTAAAAACATGATTTATTTTCTTAGGGCAGTTTCACTCTTGTTGGCTCCACACTGGATTGCAATGGTGCCATCGCGGCTCTGCAAACTCTGCCTCCCAGGTTCTGGTGATTCTCGTGCCTCAGTAGCTGGGATTACAGGCACATGCCACCACGCCCAGTTAACTTTTGTGTTTTTAGTAGAGACGGGGTTTCATCATGTTGGCCAGGCTGGTCTCCAACTCCTGACTTCAGGTGATCTGCTCGCCTCAGATCAACCTCCCAAAGGTGCTGGGATTACAGGCATGAGCCACCGTGCCTGCTGATATTTTTACTTAATATTATTACCATATATTCATAACCAGTAGTTATACGCTTTGAACTTGCCAGTTAATATGTGTTCCAGTTTCCTCTTCACATCTCATGTTATTAGTTCTATATGTTTCTTTCCTTTCTTCCTATGTATACTTTGGAAAGTTCATCTCTCTGAATGTGTGTGTGTGTGTGTGTGTGTCTTTCTTTTAAGCCAAACCAAATCTCCCCTTTTTACACTAATTCCCAGCCCCATTTTCAATGTCCAGGAGGTCAGGCAAGCTCACCTCACCTTCATCACAAACAAAATCCACTTTTGCTCCAAGCTGGAGACTACGTGGAAATAGCACACGACCATTAGGAAGTTGGCCCAGGGAGTCATCACAGGATTTCACTGGAGTAAAAGAAAAATGAACAGAAAATATTGGCATGTAGAGAATAAAGGCGCCCAAGCTAAAAAAAATATCCAAGCCAGACAAGAGTCTAGGCACCTTCATCTGGGGACTGCAGGGCTCCAGTCTCCCTGGGAGTGTACAGCGCAGAGAGACGCAGCCCCTCTGAGATCTTAGCCAGGCTCACAGATGTAGAACACTTCTGCCCAGGCTGAAAGATGTCCTTGTCCTTTGGGTGCGCTCACCATGCAGGACATCTGGAGGCGACCCCACGACATACTGGGGAGAGAGAAACAAAGTATTGCTAATTTTCTCAATATTAAACTGGCCAATTACAAATCTATATATAATAAAGGAGTAAGATAAGAGCTTTATTATATTGATAACAAACAAATACACAGGGGCGAGAGAAGATGTCTTGCCATCAGTCATAGAACTGACACATTTGCAGAACTGTAGGAAGTAAAACAGTATCCTCAATTCATTGCTTTTCATCTAAAGTATGCAACTAACATTCCGCAATGGACAGTTCCTTGTAGAATGCTTCCAATTACTGTTCACCCAGTACAAAATTGGGAGGAATGATGAAAACTCATATCTTCATACTTTTGCAAATCTCTGCAATTTAGTATTGCATTTTAGGCAATAAAAGTGCCCCTGCCCATGTCTCATCTAATAGGTCCCTCCGTCACCTATCACACGATTACAGCAAACAGCGTCCATGTCTCTCTCATCTCCTGTCAAAGGCTTCTCTCAGCGGCCACCTGACATAGGGTGAAGTAACCCGAACTATGGGCCTCCTCTCTTCCCATGAAGCAAAGGTGCTGTCTAGTCATTCATTTCACTATGGTGAGAAGGTGGGCAACTGTTGAACAAAATCTAAAAGACCTACTGTCACCATAATTAGAGTGTATATTTCAGGCAACATATTGTAATGATAGCACTGGCTCTCTTAATATAGTTGATCTGATCTTGGGAGAATCAGAACACATTTGGGTCTCAACTAGAGACTTCATAAAACTGTTATAAAATGGAAAAAAAAAAATTTCAGTTTGGCTTTGAGCAGACTAGTTCCCTTTTCTGGACTTTAGCTTTCTCAAGCATCTGGGGGATTGGACTAGAAGAACGACTTCTTTAAGGGTAATGTAAATACTCTGATGCTGTAATGTCCATTTTCGGGACTCATCACACAGTGTTTCCCTTGACTAATCAATGCTTGGTGATGTAATATTGAGGTGCTGTGCTGGTTAGAATTTCTGGTAGCTCCCCAGCCTCACACTTCTACTGTCTTTCGACTGCTAGCAATGGAAGCCTTAAAACTACAATCGTGAATGAACTGATGAAGATGGCGGGCTAAGACAGCTCCAGTCTCCAACTCCAACGCCAGCGACACAGAAGACAGGTGATTTCTGCATTTTCAACTGAGGTACTGGGTTCATCTCACTGGGTACAGGACAATCAGTGCTGGTCAGCTGCTGCAGCCCCACAGACTGGAAGCAGGGGCGAGGCATCGCCTCACGTGGGAAGCGCAGGGGGAAGGAATCACTTTTCCTAGCCAGGGAACTGAGACACACAACACCTGGAAAATCCAGGTGCTCACCCCAATACTGTGCTTTGCAAGGATCTTGGCAAACAGGCACACCAGGAGATTATATCCCTCACCTGGCAGGAGGTCCACGCCCGCGGAGCCTCCTCATTGCTGGCACACAGCAGTCTGTGATCTACCAGCAAGGCAGCAGCCGAGGCTGGGGAGGGGCGCCCTTGCTGAGGCTTAAGTGATACAAACAAAGCTGCTGGGAAGCTCGAACTGGAGTGGAGCTCACAGCAGCTAGGAGTCCTACCTGTCTCTGTAGGCTCCTCTACAAGGGACAGGGCACAGCTAAACAACAACAACAGCAACAACAACAACAACAACAAAAAAGCAGCTGAAACCTCCAGGCAGGCATAAGCGACTCTGTCCCAGTGAGCTTCCAGAAGAGAGCAGTGGATCTCCCAGCAGGAGTTGTTGAGATCTGAGAAGGGACAGACTCAAGTGGGTCCTGACCTGAGTGGCCTAACTGGGAGACATCTCCCGCTAGGGGCAGACCGACACTGCCCCACACACCTCACACGGTGGAGTACACCCCTGAAGGGGAAGCTTCAAAGCAAAAAATCAGACAGGTACACTCCTTTGTTCAGCAATATTCTGTCTTCTGCAGCCTCTGCTGCTGATGCAGGCAAACAGGGTCTGGGTGGACCTCAAGCAATCTCAGCAGACTTCAGCTACAGAGGTCCTGACATTTAGAAAAAACTAACAAACAGGTAGGACACCCACACCCAAAACCCCATTAGTGCGTCACCATCATCAAGACCAGAGGCTGGATAAAACCACAAAGATGGGGAAAAAGCAAAGGCCCAGAAAAAGCTGGAAATTCAAAAATAGAGCGCATCTCCCCCTGCAAAGGCGCAGCTCATCACAGCAACTGGATCAAAGCTGAATGGGAAGTGACTTTGTGAGATGAGAGAAGAAGCCTCCAGTCCCTCAAACTTCTCAGAGCCCCACAAAGGAGAATTACGTACCCAGCACAAATAAACTAAAAATCTTGAAAAAAGAGTGGAATAATTGATAACTAGAATAATTAATGCAGAGAAGGCCATAAATGAACTGACAGAGATGAAAACCATGACATGAGAAATACGTGACAAATGCACAAGCTTCGGTAACCGACTCGATCAACTGGAAGAAAGAGTATCAGCAATTGAGGATCAAATGAATGAAATGAAGCAAAGAAGAGAAATCTAAAGAAAAAGAAGAAAAAGGAAATGAACAAAGCCTGCAAGAAGTATGGGATTATGTAAAAAGACCAAATCGACGTCTGATTGGGGTCCTAAAAGTGAGGGAAAATGGAACCAGGTTGAAAAACACTCTTCAGGATATCATCCGGAGAACTTCCCCAACCTAGTAGGGCAGGCCAACATTCAATTCAGGAAATACAGAGAATGCCACAAAGATACTCCTCGAGAAGAGCAACTCCAAGACACATAATTGCCAGATTCACCAAAGTTGAAATGAAGAGAAAAATCACCCAAGGACAGCCAGAGAGAAAGATTGGGCTACCCACAAAGCCCATCAGACTAACAGCAGATCTTTCGACAGAAACTCTACAAGCCAGAAGAGAGTGGGGCCAATATTCAACATTCTTAAAGAAAAAGAATTTTAAACTAGAATTTCATATTCAGCCAAACTAAGTTTCATAAGTGAAGGAGAAATAAAATCCTTTACAGATAAGCAAATGCTGAGAGATTTTTGTCACCATAGGCCTGCTAACCACAAAGAACCTAAGAAGAAGCACTAAACATGGAAAGGAACAACCAGTACCAGCCATTTGCAAAAAACATGCCAAATGTAAGACCATCAGGCTAGGCTTTACATCCAACTTCTTTTAAGCAAAATAACCAGTTAATATCATAATGGCAGGATCAAGTTCACACATAACAATATTAACCTTAAATGTAAAAGGACTAAATGCTCCAATTAAAGGACACAGACTGGCAAACTGGATAAGGAAGTCAGGCCCATCAGTTTGCTGTATTCAGGAGACCCATCTCACATGCAGAGACATACATAGGCTCAAAATAAAGGGATGGAGGAAGATCTACCAAGCAAATGGAGAACAAAGAAAGCAGGGGTTGCAATACTAGTCTCTGATAAAACAGACTTTAAACCATCAAAGATCAAAGAGACAAAGAAGGCCATTACATAATGGTAAAGATCCAATTCAACAGGAAAGGCTAACTATCCTAAATATATACCCAATACAGGAGCACCCAGATTCATAAAGCAAGTCCTTAAAAGTATGAAGAGACTTAGACTCCCATACAATAATAATGGGAGACTTTTACAACACCACTGTCAACATTAGACAGATCAACGAGACAGAAAGTTAACAAGGATATCCAGGAATTGAACTCATCTCTGCAGCAAGCAGACCTAATAGACATCTACAGAACTCTCACCCCAAATCAACAGAATATACATTCTTCTCAGCACCATATCACACTTATTCCGGAAATTATTCCACATAATAATTGGAAGTAAAACGCACTCCTCAGCAAATGTACAAGAACAGAAGTTATAACAAACTGTCTCTCAGACCACAGTGCAATCAAACTAGAACTCAGGACTAAGAAACTCAATCAAAACTGCTCAACTACATGGAAACTGAATAACCTGCTCCTGAATGACCACTGGGTACATAACGAAATGAAGACAGAAATAAAAGTGTCCTTTGAAACCAGTGAGAACAAAGATACAACATACCAGAATCTCTGGGACACATTTAAAGCAGTATGTAGAGAGAAATTTATAGCACTAAATGCACACAAGAGAAAGCTGGACAGATCTAAAATTGACACTCTAACATCACAATTAAAAGAACTAGAAGCAAGAGCAAACACATTCAAAAGCTAGCAGAAGGCAAGAAATAACTAAGATCAGAGCAGAACTGAATGGGGAATAGAACACAAAAAACCTTCCAAAAAATCAGTGAATCCAGAAGTTGGTTTTGAAAAGATCAACAAAATTGATAGACCACTAGCAAGACTAATAAAGAAGAAAAGAAGAAAGAATTAAATAGATGCAATAAAAAATGATAAAAAGAGGATATCACCACTGACCCCACAGAAATAGAAACTACCATCAGAGAATACTATAAACACCTCTGTAAAATAAACTAGAAAATCTAGAAGAAATGAATGAATTTCCTGGACACTTACACTCTCCCAAGACTAAACCAGGGGAAGAAAGCTGAATTCCTGAATAGACCAACCAGAGCTCTGAAATTGAGGCAATAATTAATAGCCTACCAGCCAAAAAAGTCCAGGACCAGATGGATTCACAGCCGAATTCTACCAGAGGTACAAGGAGGAGCTGGTACAGACAGCTTCTGAAACTATTCCAATCAATGAAAAGAGGTCCTCCTACTCATTTTATGAGGCCAATATCATCCTGATACCAAAGCCTGGCAGAACCTGGCAAAAAAGTTTTGGGCCAATATCCCTGATGAACATCAATGCAAAAATCCTCAATAAAATGCCAGCATTCAGATCGTAGCACATCAAAGCTTATCCACCATGATCAAGTGGGCTTCATCCCTGGGATGCAAGGCTGGTTCAACATATGCAAATCAATAAACGTAATACAATATATAACTAGAATAAAGCAAAAACCCATCGTGTCTCGTAGATGCGAAAAGGCCTTTGACTGAAGTTAATAACATTCATGCTA